TCTAGCCTTCTCCTAAGTATTAGCCTGAACTACCGGCACTGTTACAGGTGCCTGCTATGCCTGCTATTACAGCTTGAGCAATGATGTCAACTAGCTGAGGAGAATACTTTGGATTTCGACCCTAATGTTGGTCCTGACCCTGACACTCCTGAGTCTGCTGCTGCTCCTCCTGAATTATAGGAACCTGTTCCTCCTCCTCTTAAAACAATTGTTGCTCCTCTACAACCCGCTAACGTCATAAACGGTTCTGATGTCTACGCGTCGCTCTCCTCTGTAGCCTTTTCCCGTCTTCTTCCAGTGTTAACCATTTTGTTAACACAATAAGATGAAACCAATATGCAATTAAACGAAACGTAAAAGAATATAATGAACCTTAAAACTTAGGCTCTAAATAAAATAATACGCTACGCGGAAGTCTTATAACGAACGAAACCCTAGACACACTTAAACCTGGAGTACTCTGATACCAACTATGATACCCCCTAATTTTGAAATACGGATTGATCAAGTCCGTGCACAAAATCAGGGAATATTAGCCAATCAATAATAAGCAAGCACAGATTTACAAAAGAAATAATAAAAAATAAATAAATATCATTGAAAGGGAAATCTAAAATAATAATTAAATAATAAATCCTCTGATACCGTAATCTCCAATAAATTCTCATTATAAGAATAAAACCTCTAGAGTACAACTTAGGAATACATATAATGTGGACCCCTAATAAAAACCCAAACTGATAGATGAAATAATTAAATGTCTAACTCAAAAGTAATAAATAAATAATGAAAAACATAGTGGAGGGTCCTATGTCGATGACACCGGAAGAGTAATAAAAACTGGCCTTTGCTTTGCACGAACTAACTCTACGCCCGGAACTATCGAGGACTTGAAAAGATAATAACAAAGGTGGGTCAAAACCCACGAACAAACCTTTTCTACTACATCCCAAATAGAGACCCGATAAACGACCCATCCTAGTCCGACTCATGCAATAACTATGTAGGTCAATTTGAATAGTAAGTCTCATGCAAGCGCACACAAGGTGGTCGTGAGTACCTCATTTACCAGGGCACATACATCCCTATATCTAGCTACCCATCTTACCTAGCAATATACGTCAATCCTAACCATCGATCCCAAGATCTCAAGCTCCTATCATGGTACACTCTTAAAATATACATATGTGAGTAATTATAGCCATATCCTGACAATGGCACAATTTAAGGACATAACCATATCCTAACAATAGCATAACAAAACATATAACTTTAGACATATTAGTCAACCCATATATGTATCAGCAAGCCATATCCTAACAATGGTGTTGTTAAGACCATATCCTGACAATGGTCCTTCATTATACAAGTATGTATAAGTTTATAAACATATACAGTCACATGCATGACTATAATCATTCTATAAACTATAGCAAGTGGTATACAATGCAAGTTGGCATAGTTATCATAGGAGTGACTTGCAACACAAGTAAAGTCCCAGCTACAGTCATATGCATGATTAATATTAGAATTTATCTGAAGTATTGTTTATGGCGGTATAAGCTTTTATACCTATCATGCAATTAACTTGTAATGCAAGTAAATCCATTTACCATTACATGAACAATTAACATAATATCATCCTCAATGATAATTATTATGACAAGGTAAGCCCTTTTTAGAGATTAAATTAATAACTTGCAATTCAATTAAGTTCCATTATATGAACTTATTATCATTAAAATGGTTACTAAACCAATAAGCTATAACCGTCCACATATAAGTGAATCTAAGTCCAAGCTATGCCTATTCTAAACTAAATCATGGCATGTTAATAAAATACTCACATGTTACTTATATAAACAATACTAACATCCCATATATTACTTATATAAAACAATACTAACAGCTCGTGTATATATTCTATATTAATATAGCAAGTTAATAATGATGTTCTTGTTATATAAATAAAACAATACCACAAAACTTATATAGCTTCTAAATTACTATTACAGATTAACTAAAATATATACAGGCTATATATAAAACACACCCAACCAAAATATATGGATAAACAACCAGGTGGGCATTCGAATTCGCCAAAACCAACCAACCCTCCAACTGTGCTGCTACTGTAATTTCCAAAAGGAACCCATTTCTATGTTATATATATAAACAATATAATAGTCCATACATATGTTTTTCTACATTATCATGGCAGATTAACAAAAATATATATATATATACACACATGCCTATTTATAAAACACCACCCCAGCCAACATATAAGTATAGACAACCATGAAAGTCATTTACTTCGCCAAACCTAACCTCTACTGCTGGTGTGTCAATACCTAGTTGCAAGAAAAATGTGTAGTGTGGCTAAGTTTAAATTTATAGAATGCTACTACCACTACTAACTATTAATGTAGCTAGAGTGAGTGAGGATCGTCCCAAGGGATATGGAGTGCATTTTTGCTTGGAAATCAACATTGGATTAGTAGGTTAAATGATCAAAATTTGGTTTGGTGGTTGAATTAGAGTACAATGTAAACTAGATAAATGCAAAATGAAGCAATTAGAGTAAAATGAGGTATAGAGAATATAAGAGAGGAGTCTTGGGATTTAGAGTTCACCACTAAGTATTATCTTCCTAGACATTCAATGTTTGATGGATTAGGGGATTATATGTTGTAATAAAAATGTGTGCCATTAATTGAATCAACAAGCATGGATGGCCAAGTAAGCATACATTGTCTAGCCAAACTAGTGAATAACACAACATATCAAATTAAGCCATTATACCTTCCTTTAAATCCACAATTAATGCACATTCATCAAATTAGAGAAATATACTACTTGCATTCATAAGCATGGAACATCAAACAACAAGTATGAATTGTCCACCTATCTAAGTAAGTAAAGCAACTACACTATATTTGAGCTAGTAACATGGAAATTAAACTAATTAAACTAAAGAGGTGGCACAATCCATCAAGAAATAAGTATGAATCATCAAATAAATCACAAGAGTAATCTATTTAAGCACCATGCCTTAACCATGTAATGACCCGGTCTTTTTCCATTTTCTGTGATTTTCTTTTTTTGTCTTTCTCCTATTTTGTCCTTTCCCTATTTCGTCTTTTCCCGTCTATCAATTTTCCTTGCATAACCTCACTTTTTGTACTCGGATTTGATTCCAGTTTTGCATGCATCCATGATACTTGGTTTCCATGATATTTGTATTTTCACTTTTGTAGAAAAGCATATTAATTGCTTATTTTTCATAAAGGGCATGGGTGCATACTTTATTGTAATTATTCATTATTTTTGGGGGTTTTGTGTAATTACATAAAGTAATTATTTTTCGTCTTAGGGACCTTTTTACAATTTAATTTGTAAGATATTTTGAAAAAGGACCATTTTGTAATTTTTTGAAAAATGTGACAAGTGTCACATTCTCATGGTGCCACTTGTTGGCAATGGGGTGGAGTGACCTAGACGTGTAATCTTTTGACATTTGGAGGGTAGAGATTTACCCACATGTTGGCCTAGGATTGGTGCACTTGTTGACTTAGATGGTTGACAAGTGTAGGCTTAGGATTGAGCCTAGGAAGGAGCATTGGATTTGTGACAAGTGTAGGATTATGATTTAGTCTTGCATTGTGTGTGTGTGTGAGGTAGTGTAAGAACACATAGTGAGTGGAGGATTTCTAGCCCTTCCACTCACTATTTCACACTTGATCTTTTTCATTTCACATGTTACCCTAGCCTAGCCACCATTGGAAAAAAAACTTAGTTAATACATTTGACTTCATTTTTGGCTTCCTTCCACTCACCTTAGATCAAAGACCTTGGAACACAAGTTTCCCCTCACTCTCATCTTCATTAACCCTAAACTTGTTTTACATTTTGAGCTTGGTTGCTTGGATTATAGAGATTCAATTCTCTATTGAGGTAGGGGTGGTAGTATGTTTATATTTTGAGTGTTTTAAGTCCTTTGGGGTATACATGCTTTTAATATGATAGTCTTGCATATTATAGGAAATCCTCACTTGTTGACTTAGGGTTTAGTGAATTAAGCATGTATAATTTGTATATACCATGTGTAGAAAGGTTGTATGATTTAGTAGTGTGCTAAATTCTAGTGTTTTCACATGTGGTAGTAATATAGAACTCTTGTAAAATTATAAATGTCATACGCAATTTCTATTGATTTAAATTGTTATCTTATGGTGGTGATAATTCTATATGCTTGTCAAGGACTTATTGTGGTTATTCTATAAACTTGTTGCTAAATTGTTGATGATTAGTAGATAAATTTTATTGTTGAGGCATGATTGAAATTGATAAGTTGATGGTATTGTATTATGCATGATATTATGATGATGACTTGTCATTTAACATGTCATTCTAGACTTGGAACCCTAAGACATGGTTTGTGTGGTTTCAAAGTACTTGTGCTTGTAAGGTGGTTGATATGCCTTATTATCTATGTATAAGTTTTGAACTTGATATATATTTTGGATTCTCTTGGGACATTGTTAAAGTGACATGGCTAAAGTTTGGCTTTAGTGCGGGAGGTATGAGTTCTCCCCAATTGAGATAGTATGCACTAGGGTGGTCTTCCCAGCGGGTTAATACCCGGAATAACCATTTTGATCTTGGTTTAGTCCGAGACGTGATGTCCAAGTATTCTACTAATTGATTTCGCATTAAATTCCAAGTTGACAACCAATGTTTAATTGTAACTTGTGATTTTTGTTATTGGCGAATTGATGTTGTTAAGTACATTGATATTGATATCGTGTTGCTAAGAGATATTTAAGTTAGCTTAAGATGATCCCTTAGAACACCTTGAACATAGACGTTAAGTGGAATGCTCCCGTGTATTCGTCTATATTGATCTTGCAAATATATTGAAACTTTAGGGTATACGCATATGATTCTTCCTACGAGTAACTTGATTACTCATCCTAGTGGTTTGGGTTGTTTTTTAGGTAAGGAGACTATGTTCTTGGATGTTCATCATCCTTAGAGGCTAATGAGCAATTTGGAACATTTTTGTATTTTGACATGCAAATGTTTAGCATGCTTCACTTTTGGATATTCTATTTTTGCATACCATGGATGTATGGTATTTTTGGGGCTAATGTAGCTACCTTAATGTGTAATGATACCTAAGTACTTACTTTTGATATTAGAAGCATATATGTATGGAGGCCAAGGGCCAAGCATGTTTAAACTAGTACTTATATCTATTTGGTGCCAACTTTTGTTTCAAAAATGTATTTAAACCATCTTGGAGGTTTGCCACATAAAATTCTTGTAATTGACATGTTCATATGTTCAATCTTCCTTAAAATAAGACAAATTTTGATCTATGCATGTGAGTAGAATGAATCTCATAGGTTCCATTGCAATTCTATATGTTTGGAGGAGCATTCAGCAGCGTTTCAGTCGACCGATGCCTCAAACCGGTCGACCGAACCAACCAAGCCTTAAAACCATGTTTGTAGAAAGTATTCTATGAGTTTCAGTCGACCGAAACTCACCCTACTTCTATTTCGGTCGACCGAAATAGCCCTTATTTGCGCAACTCTTCAATTTAGTTTCAGCACTGATGGTCCAACTTCGAAAAGTCATAACTTCTTCGCTTCTAATCCAAATGGGGTGATTCTTAAGCCTAAACACAAGGATTTTGAATCAGCTTTCCAATAGTACCTATGCCATTCTCAAATTACAAACACAGTGAGAGATATTCATGTTTTAGGGGAGTAATGTCAGTTTTCACTTCTACCGGGAAAGGGCAATTTGTGGGATTCTTGGCCAATGTTCTTAAAACCTCTTAGAATGTCTTGAAATGATTAGATTAGGTTGTATTCACCTTGTTTGACTTGTTTACAGTCAAGTATCTCTCTTTAATTGTGAATTGACCGTTTTGCCCCTTTGATAACTAATTTTGTCCTTTTTGACATTTGTTCCCGCTTTTGCTCTCTTTAAGTCCCATGATCTCATGAAAGGTCACATTTGTGTCTTAGGAGTGATTCATAATATCAACACACATAGACATGCATCAATGTCACAAAATTTAGAAATAAGTACATGAACATTCATTCTAGCATATATAGACAAATGGATAGAACTAAATGATCAATTGGAAGTAGACTACACAAATCATTGTAGAAACAAGATATATCTATATATATATATAAGATGTCAAGACAATAATTACAACACAAATCCCCATTAATTACAAATATTAAAGTCTAGGAGGCATGCTTAGGGCTATCTCTAGCCCCAAGAGAATGGTTTAGCCACTCATTGATGTTGTCATCCAACCCTCAAGGGCTATCTCCATAATAGTAATGATCCTTTTCTTTTTGGTAGAAACCTTAGATGAGTGGAAGAACTATCCCCAAATGGTGTATCTCTCTCTCTAATCTCTAGCCTCCTCCAAACCTCAATATTATATATCTATTCCAAATAGCCAAAATCCTTATATAGGTAGCTCAAATGTCATACCCAATGGTTAGACCTCGTGCACTAGGGCCTCCAAATGATTGCACCATGAGCACACCTTTTAATTGTCTGGAACTTTATTTTTCTCGCACTTGAGGAAGTTCGATCGATTATAAGGGTGCTTGGATCGATCGAACTATGGTAGGGCCTTTTTGAATAATGACAAAGCTGAGATATTTGTGGGATATTTTGGGCAAAAAGACAAAAGTGGTAGGTGAGGATAAGATCAAAAATGTTAGATTGATTGAAGAAGAAGTTTGATCGATCGAAAAGGGAAATTTTCCTGAAGGCTTGATCCATCATAACATGGTTGGAACGATCACTGTGTGATCGATCAGAGCTTGATTCGATTGATCGAAGAAGGCTTCTTTTCACCACTTTACTTCCACTTTGCTCATTTCTTCCACTAAGCTTGAGATTGCTTCTTTTATGCTCTAATTCAGCTGAATTGACTTATTTTAGGGATAAGTGCCTCAAAATGGACATAACATGAAATTAGACTAAAATGGAAAAATAAGATAGAATAAGATCCTAGAACATTTAAGCTTAAGGGATTTAAATGTGTACTTTTCGGCGCTTATCAACTGCCACATGATTTCGTAAACCCAAAATCAATCAAATTGGCTTCTTCAATCAAATTGGTTCCTAAGGACAGCATCTAAGTTGTAATTGACACATTAATAGATTTGGTTAAAATCAATAAACAACCACTCAAAATATGAACATATATATACATAACTTTATTTTTTTTTCTCTGCTACGATCCGTTTTCAACGTAAAAGATTTAACTTAATCTGTAATTAACTCCTTAAAGCTGTTCTACAGATGGATCGAACGCGAAATTAACGGAAATAAGTATAACGAAAACTTGCCTTTAGAGTTTCGGGTCGAAACTCTATGCCTTTCTTCTCTGATTTTCCCTTGACGCTGGCAGTTTTCGAGCTACCATCAATGCCACTGCTAGTCATAGTTCACATCCATAAATCACCTCCTACCGTTACCCCTTGGTCCGACATCACCACCCTTCTCTTTCTTCCCTTTTTTTCTTCCTCTTTCTCTCTGTTCCTCTCTGGTTTTTCTCTCTGTTCTTTTCTTTGTTTGTGTATAGTTTCTCCAGCCACTCTCACAGCCCCCTAAACATATCATATATATATATATATATATATATATATACTAGGAAAAGACACGTGCGATGCACGTGGTGAATGTTTTGTAACTTACATAATTTTTGTTTTCATATATATATATTTTTTAAATTGTTGATTTGAAGCTTGTAACAATAAACCTTAAAAAAAATTGCAATTTTTTTTAACTCTTTTTATATTAATTAATAAATATTTTTTTAAATTAATAAATTAATACTGAAATATTTTGAAATTGGTGATAGAGTTTGAGTTTTGTAAAGTAATAAATTCTTTTAGGTTTTTATATTAATACTGAAATATATATATTTTATTTTTTATTAATTAATAATTTTTTTATTTTAATATTGAAATATTTGAGTTTTCAAAGTAATAAATTCTTTTAGGTAATTTGTAATTTGAATTTTATTAGGTAATATTTAAAAATTATATATATATAATAGTATAGATTTGAATTTTATTAAGTAATTTAAAATTTAGTATAATTTTAAATTTACAATAGAAATTCAATTATATTAATTTTTAATTAAATTTTAAAATAGAAATTCAATTATACTAATCATACTTTAGATTGAAATTGATATAAAAATTTATTATATGGAGTTTGTGGTTTGATAAGCACTGAAAAGTGTGCATTTAAACCCCTTAAGCTTGAACATTCTAGGACCTTATTCTATCTTATTTTTCCATTTTAGTCTAATTTCATGTTATTTCCCTTTTCAGGCACTTATTCCCAAAATTAGTCAATTCAGCTGAATTAGAGCATAAAAGATGTAATCTCAAGCTTAGTGGAAGAAAGAAGCAAAGTGGAAACAAAGTGGTGAAAAGTAGCAATCTTCGATTGATCAGATCACGCTCAAATCGATCTCATAGTGATTCGATCTAACCATGCCAAGATGGATCAAGCCTCTTGTCCTTATCTTCAAGAAATTTCCATCTTCGATCGATCCAACATTACTTCGATCGATCGGACATCTTTGATCTTATCCCCACCTACCACTTTGTCATTTTCCCAAAATATCCCGAAAATATCTTGATTTGTCATTATTCCAAAAAGGTGACGCCATAGTTCGATCGATCTGGACACCCTTGTGATCGATCGAACCTCCTATTAAAAGGTGTGCTCGTGGTGCAATCATTTGAAAGTCCTAGTGCACGATGTCTGACCATTGGGTGTGACACTTGAGCTACCTATATAAGGATTTTAGGCCATTTTAAACATATACAATCTTGGAGAGAAAGGAACCATATAGAGAAGAGAGGTTGGAGGAGTCTAGAGATTAAAGAGACATATACCATTTGGAGTTCTTCCACTCATCTAGGGTTTTCATCAAGGAGAAGAAGATCATATCTACCATGGAGATAACCCTTGAGGGTTGGATGACTACATCAATGAGTGGCTAAACCATTCTCTTGGGGCTAAAGAAAGCCCTAAACATGCCTCCTAAACTTTGATGTTTTGTAATTTGAGGGGATTTGTGTTGTAATTCTTGTCTTGACATTTGATTTATATATGAATCTTGTTTCTACAATGATTTGTGTAGTTTAATACTTCTAATTGATAATTTCATTCTATTCAAATGTCTATGTATGCTATAATAGATGTTCGTGTGTTTATCTCTAGGTTTTGTGATATTGATGCTAAGAATCTAGTTATTGTCAAGGTATGGTGCTTAAATGGAATACTCTTGTGGTTTGTTTGTTGGTTCATACTTATTTCTTGATGGATTGTTCATCTTCCTTAGTTTAATTAGTTTAATTTTCATATCTCTAGTTTAGATGTAGTGTAGTTGCCTTACTTTCTTAGATGGGAGGACAATCAATTCTTGTTGTTTGATATTCCATACTTATGAATGCAAGTAGTATTATTTCTCTAATTTGATGATGTGTATTGATTGTGGACTTAAAGGAATGAATAATGGTTTAACTTGATATGTTGTGCTATTCACTAGATTGGCTAAACAATATATACTTATTTAGTCATCGATGCTTATTGATTCAATTAATGACACACACTAGTATTGCAACATATAATCCCCTTCATCCATTACACATTGAATATCTAGGAAGGTGATGTTTAATGGTGACCTCTAAGTCCCAATATCCCTCTCTTATATTCTCTACATTTCATTCTACTTCAATTGTTTTACCTTGTTTCCATTTTGTTGACATTGTAGTTTAATTAACCAACAAAACATCTTTGATCACTTGACCTACTAATCTAACATTGATCCCCAAGCTAAATACACCCCATTTCCCTTGGGACGATCCTTACTCACCCTAGCTATTGTTATAGTTAGAAGTGGTAGTGGCAATCTCTAATTTTAAACTTGGCCACACTACACTCAATTTTGTGCTTTGCGTTTTGCGTGCACCAAGTTTTAGCGCCATTGCCGGGGATTTGGCACCGTCGTATTTTTTGAAATCAATTAGGAATTAGTACTCTTTTGATCTTGTCTTTATTTTTATTTTATTTGGTTACTTATTGTGTTTGTTCTTGATTGGCTAAGTGCATTGAGCCAAGAGGGTGAAGCAAAGGGAAATTCAAAGGCAAGAAGCAAGCTAAGCTAAGCAAAAATGCAAAAAGCTAAAATCTAAAAAAA